AATCGTACAAATTTAGGAGGTGTCTCTCTACTAATTTCTATTTTCTATTTATATGTATCATAAATAGAATTAAAAAGAATATATTTTCTTTAATAAAATATAATGACAAAGAAATTGTCTTTTAATTCAATCTATTTCTTTATATCTTTTCAATTTTACATATTATTTATTAACTTCTATTTATTAACGTCTATTTATTAACGTCTTCGTTTATTTGTAAACAATTTTAAATATATTTATATATTTTTTCTCTTGTTAATAAAATATCTAAATATATTTGTTAAATAATTTTTGAAAGTATTTCCTCTTTGATAACAATATTTCGTATACCAATAAAATAACTTGTCAGTGAAGAAATGCTTTTCATCACATTTCCATCCCATTTGCGGTTAAGTATAAAATTAACATATGACGGTGATGTCAGAGCTTTCGAATATTGATAAACGAATAAAATTAACACGATGGTGATGTCAGAGCTTTCGCAATCGTAAGAAGATAATTCCGAAAATGTTTGTATTTATTTTGATTCATATGTGGAAGTGAAATATTCCAATAAAATCAAACACAAAAATAAAATAAAGAAAATCTGTTTCTCTCTAAATAATAATTTTAATAAAATGACGAATTTTTCTTAGAAAATTAATTTGAAGAATATCCTTGATAATTGCAAACTCAAATTTCATTAATCTATCGTCTCTGAATATAATTTATACGAAATCATTTCAATAAAATAAATATTGAGAAGACTCGTAATAGCATTGCATTGAGTGCATTAAACTGCATAGTAGCAGTAATGAAGTTGCACTTAACATCGACGAGAGATTTTGCCTCGAGCTACGATCAAAAGGTCGACCGCTGTCCGTCCTCCGCAAATGTCTTTTATATTTCAACTTCTATCTGCGACTCTCGTCGTTTTTCTCTCCTTTGAAATGAAGGAAATTTTTCACATTCCGACTCCTTTCACGCGTCTCGTGGATACGTAAACATCCATCAATATATTGGACGAAGGTCATCGACAGCAAGGTCGTTCGGTCTCAATCGGTATTAAATCGATATTAAAATCGTACATCTCCTCGATCGAGTAAAGTGCAAATTTACTTTCACTTCGGAAGCTGCATCGCATAACGCGTGAAATCAATCCTGAACCGTATTTGAGATATATATTTTTCATTTTTGAACTGATTTAATTACAGAAAAGACGCAGAAGTTAGAGATGTTTTTAAGATTGATCAAACAAATTAATTAAATTCTTTCCTAGGAAACAATATATTCTCTATCAAAAATATTCTCTCTATCAAATTCTATCTATCAAAATATTCAAAAATATATATTAACTAAAATATTAAATATATAATTAACGAATAATTCTTCAAGGCAATTCGAAAATAGTGCAATCACATAGCTAAGTTAAATACTTTAAGAAGAAATCGTAGAAAAATCTGAGATCTTATTAATAATTTTGCAGAAACAAATAAATTATTATAAGTTGTAAATTAATCTTGTTATAAATTATAAATCAAATTATTTAATGATCTTTTTGTGATCTTTGCGTTACGATTAAGAGCGACGATTTCAATTCGCTACCGATCGCGCTCTATTATTTATCCGGTTAGATTGAAGCGCGATTCTTTCGCAGCTTCCGAAATGATGCAAATTGCACTCGTTGATTCATGGAGAAGCGAAGGATTGTTACAACCTCCCAGTCTTGATTTCGCAATCGAATTGCCACACGCGTTCGCTCCTTCTTTACGGTCTGCAACGGTTTAAAAAAGTGAAGTTGCATTGCGGTCCCCTCCTTCCTTGGGAGGAAGCCGATGATCGTTCCCAGGTATTCGATATGCGCTTATAAATCGCGCCCTCGAATGATCTCTTTCATTGCAGCGCACCTCACGATACGTTCAATCGCGCGTAAATCCTGAGAAGTTGTATTGCTGATCTATTATCGTTAAGATACGCGGTAAAAGGTCCGTATTTACATTTTTCCCAGAACCTTTCAAATCTATTTCAATTATTATTCCGTAGAAAGTTAGTGAGTTATTATTGTAAGAATCTTTGCTCTTTGCTTTCCAACATATATTTACATTGATTATAAAAAATATGCAGATTTAGAAGAAAAATATAAAAGATCGTTAGATTATATATTGTTTAATTAAAGTAAAATTTAATTAAAGTAAATTAAAGAAAAAAAATATATATCTGTTTTAGTAAAGAATGCATGATAAATACATAAATCACGATGTAATATAATGATCTCGATGTACAATTAATGATTAATGATTATGTAAAACGTAAAATAATTTGGAAATTTGTATTATAATAAATAGTTAATTATAATAAAATATTAAAAAATAATTATAAAAAAATAAAATATAAAATATAAAAAAATAAACAAAAAAATATTGTGCTTTCAATGTGTCATATGCAAAACATGTTGCATGTTAGGGTAAAGATTAATCCGATTGATTAATAGCTATAATTATTATAAGATTAATACGATTGATTAATAGCTATAATTATTTATGAAATAATCTTTAAAAATATTGAAAAAAAATTTCCGCGAGAACTCTATACAAATTGAACTCGAGAATAGAGAATGTAGCATGCGTGCACATTTCAATTTCTATCGTCAGTAGACGCATCGTCTATTATATGGAACAATAAAACGCATCGACACACAAGTACACGATTATGCGAATAAATTCCTGCTTTCACTGCCTAAAATTCGATCGGAGAAATTAATTGAAATGACCGGTGATATCACTTTTACTTCATATCGCTGTATTCGTATACTTGATAGAGTAGTATTTTGACTAGATAAATAGCCTTATTATACTAACTATAAATCAACAATTAAAATAAATTATAAATTTATATAAAAAAGTAGCATACGAATAAAATTAATCATAATTAGAATATAAACATGCTTATGTAACATTATCTTTCACTTTCCATCTTCCCCCTTTTTTCTCAAACAACCATATTATTAGATTCTTCTTTTTACATATGCTTTGAGCCATGTTATCCTTGAAAAATTCAATATTGAGAACTCTGATCTATCTCAAAATACCATCATTCAAACTTTTTTTAAGGTTCTAATTAATTATCGTAATTAATCATTATATAATCACGCAATGAATTATTTTATAATCAATTATTTCTCATTATAAAGTAAAAGTCGCACTTACTTAGGAGATATTCCTTTCCTTTCTTATCTTTTTCTTTCTCTCTCTCTCTCTCTCTTTCTCTCTCACTTTCGTGCTCATTAAACTCCATCGACTCGTTGAAAGCGTGACTAGTGAGATGCAAAGGAAAAGAGAAAAAAGGAAAAAGAAAAAGGAACGAGCGCCTACGCCTACGGACGTGCCCATAAATTTGCTCAACTCGGTTCTCAAGGTTTTTTCACCGCTCGCGAATCGCGTTTTGATACCGCGGGGCGAATATGCAAGTCAAATGTTACCCTCGCCTCCCCCTCGTGTTATTACTCAATCCGCGGATACAGATCTTTCCTTCTGGAATCCGATCTCTTACCTCCGACGCGCGACTTTATCCTCACCTCGCCTTATCGAGTCGCGTCAAAAGTGGATTGCTTTGCGCTCACGTGGAATCACATAGGACCGATCACGACCGCAATCGAGTATACGATTTCTCGTTAATATCGATTCGCAATTTCAATCGCACCGATCGCTCGCGTGGAACTCGATCTATACCGGGTACCCATGTATCTATATACGTATCCTCTCGTAACGATAAATTGCTAACCGTGAGCGGAACATGAGGTATAATTTTAAGCGCGAGTTTAAGCGAAATGTAACGGAAATTCCTTCGCTCACGGAAATTCCTTCTTCCGAACAAGTTTCCGAATAAACGTTATTATACACGCGAAATCTTGCAATGGCTGATGGTCATAAGTTTCACCTGCATTGCGTTCGACATAAAGATAACATACATTCGTGCAGGAAAGTCCGCGTTTTTCCCGTCTAAGCGCAATCCTTGTGTTATTTTTTTGAGTGTTTCGACATACATTTTAACGTCGAAATACCTGTCAAGATGTCATAATTCGATAACCGACAAGGAATCAAATACAAATTAGAATTGGCCTCTCTCTCAAGGCAAATCTAATTAAGAGACTCGCGCGTTTAATATTATTCGTTAATAATATTCATGTATTTGAAATGGAATTTTTTACGACAGAATCTATGTAAATGCATATTTGGATGAAGAAATAAATGGAAAAAAATTAATGTTTGCGGTAATTATTATGGTAAAAATTGTAATTTGCAAGAATAGATATGGAAAAAAAGGATTGCGCACTTCTTATTGACAATTGCAGGAATCATAATGAAACACCGCGCATTATTGCCTTCGTCGAACGTTGATGTAACAACCGAATGTTAATGTTAATGAAAAATGCCTATCATTAAAGCAGAGATAATGACTCATTGTAAGAGTGAAATTATGTTCTTCAGTCCATGTTCATTTCTTATTCTAATTGCCTAATAGCGCAATTCTAATTCAGTCAAAAAATCATTCGGAAAGAAATAAACAATCATTTTTAAAAAATGAGTTTTTACAAGACAATGAAAAATTTCGTGCGAGATTTCTATTCAAAATAAAATTGAAAATTATCTAAGCGATATTAATTTTAATGTGTAATGTATATATTTGACTCTAATGCTTTAAACAAGTTTCTTATAAACATATTAATTAAACTGTTTTTTGTATAATTAATCTAACAATTTTTAATAATTTTATTCTAGTTATACTCTGCTATTATTTCTAATCATATTCCGTTGCAGTGAGCTTAAATCGTGATTTTTTATCATATATCGTATTTTTATCATACGAGCGTTTTTAGAAAATCATATTTTGTCCTCGACAAGATCTACAACGCAAGATCTAACGCAAGATCTTAGATATTGCAGTTAGAGAAATTGAAAGAGTTAATAATGATCTAATGATGACTCAACTTATCGTTTGTTCGAGAGTGAAATTGCTCTTACCCAGTCCATGTTAACTGCTCGGTCTGATCTCCTGGTGACTTGGTGTCTCGCCTGTTTTCAAAATCAGGAGTCTTTCTCATCAGCTTGAACACATTACGCGTCAGGTGCATCTGCTTATGATAACGTGATCCACAATGACGAGACGATGCGATCGCCGTTGCACTCGTGACCTTGTACCTGTACGATGACACTGGAGGAGAACGACGTCGCGGCACTTATGTGGCAATTATCTGCGAACGAATCGCGCGAGCAACGTTCTCCAGGGCGAAGAGCGTACGACTGGCTCGGCTGGTGAAGGTGGACCATACAAGCGCACTGTTACTTTCATGGGGATCGTCTCCCATACTACCAGCACCTTCGTGGGACAACATCGCCAACCGGTGTTGGATCCCACCAACCGGAACCGCGTTTCCAGTTCTTCGCGATGCTGGGGGGGGCCCCCAATGCAAAATCTCCGGGGTGATGCGGCGGTGGAGGTGAAAGGAAGACATTTCTTCGCTGGCCACGTCTATGTCGCTTCTGTCCGTTGAATATGTAAGATTGTATGAGTGTAGATTATCGTCAAGTGAGGAATTTTGAAGATGTTGCAATTATCACTTGTTTTTCCTAATTTGTATAATTATAATATTCTATCAAGATAACATAAAAAATATCTTTCGCAATAATTGTTGATGCATTAGAGAACGGATCATTATCTCAAAAACCTCTAAGAAATGTTGAACAAATTCAAAGTTTATCTGTATACGAGACAAATTATTATTATCTAGTTCATTTTTATGTAAGAAATAAAATTCGTATGTAACTATATAATAGTCATAAAAAATAAAGATAAAATATTTTATAAGACTTCAGTCCCATATACATATATTATGTACATATATATTATAGATAAAACCTATGCATATATACATATACGAGATATTATTAAAAAGCGAGAATTGTATTAAAAATATATGAACTAAACTTATCATTTATAATTACTACAATTGCCTTCGCAATAATGGCCTTTAACACATTTTTTACAGAATTGTGAAATCTGTGGCATTGGTCGAGATTTTCGTAGGCGTGACAGTCATTTATAATCGCGTATATATTAATATATAATCGTGTAAATTAATGTATAATATATAATCAAGTATTTTCGCAATTTGCATTGTCAAAGCTTGTCCTGCAAAAGCGAATCATTGTATGATCAATTTTAAAATAGTATGATATCAGCTGCATTTTTATCTTAAGAAAAATAAAAGAGGAAAAAGGAAAAAAAATAAAGATTATAGCTATGTTATTTGTTTGCAAGTTAGCAGTTTTTGGTAAAACATATGACTGTAATTTCCCTTTTTTTCTATCTGGCTATCACTTTTTTAACATTAATTTATATAACTATATATTATATATTATTCACTATACACTTAAATTTTTATATGTACAGTTATTGTACATTATTAATCAATAAAAAAAGAAAAATTGTATTTTTTGTGCATATTAAAGATCAATTATTCAAATTACTAATGGAGAAAGAAAATTAACATAAGTTACTTAGATATTATCATTTATGGTTATTTCATAAAATGAAGTAAAATAATTCAAACATATCACATCGATCATTGGAAATCAGTATCATTTTTTCAGAAAAGAAAGGAAAGTCATATTTAAATGTGACATGATGGTTAATATCAAGCAATATAAATTCTTTCGACTTCCTATCGATCGACTTGAATCTCTGCCAATGTGAAAAGAAATGGAAATCGATATGTATAGCATTGCGATTGATGGTGACATTCAATATTTGAAAAGAAAGTATTTTTAAATTATGCGTAATCGCACAAAAAACTTTCATTAAATCATAGGAATTTTTATATATTAACATTTCTTTCATTTACTATTCTTCTTTTTTTTCTTTTTCTTTTCTTTCTTTTTTTATTTTTATTTTTTTTTATTTATCTATATATCAGCCGAATTTAATTCGAGACCAACATTCTCAGGATCTAATGTAGATTTCTTGAATCTCTTTGTTGAACTCTCTGAAATAAAAAAGAAAGAAATTTTTTTTCCTTTAAATCATAAAATTTTCTATCGATTCAACACGAATTGATTTATTATAATATTTGATATTAAACTACTACTTAATATTTTATATTAAATACATAAGAAATAAATTACCTTGGTAGAAACGTTTTGCAGTACGTTTCCTAATTTCTTCGATACCTTCTTCTGCCTGTGCCCATTCAAGCACTAATCTTCGACCATACAAGTGAGTACTTTGACATAATGCTTTAAACGCTTTCTGCAAGAAATTAAAATTGACAAAAAAATGAATGCGATTTCTTCTGTTATCTTTAAATAATTTTTAACTTTTCACCTTATAGGGTGAAGACTTAGATTTATTTATGGAAATAAGTTCTACAAATAGGAATACTATAAGTGATTACCTTTGCGTCCGTCTTCGTGTAATACTCGATGAAGCCGAATCCTCTATGCTTCTCAGTGCCAACTAATTTCTTTGGCAACCGTACAGCCTTCAATTCCCCATACGATCTGAAAAATACAATTAGTTATATTTTACATTATATATAAACATTTTGGTAATATATATATATATATATATATATATATATATATATATGTACATACTTGAATAATTCCGTTATTTCTTGAAGAGTTGCTTGGAAGGGTATGTTTCGTACCAAAATTTTAGAACTAGTTTGTTCGGTAACTTTAGACTTCTTCCTCACTGTTTTGACATCAGACCTAGAAAACAATCTCTTAATTATTGAGATTTTCTAGCTTTAGGAAAGATAAATTAAATTAATATTATCATTACATTAGGGTTCTCTCAGATCGCTTTAACTCCAAACTCTTCCCATCGAGTACTGACATCTGTAATGTTTTCAACGCACGATCCGCGTCGTGTTTTCTTTTGTATCTCACAAATCCATATCCCATAGATAGTTTATTAGTCGGATTTTCTGGATCTTTTTTAGTTGCTATTGTGATATAATGAAGAGGACCGCATTTACCAAAGTACTGAAAGCGTAAAAATGTATCCTCACATTTATACACAAGAAACACAGAAAAAGTTACCTTAAAAAATATAACAATTTTAAATATAATAATTTTAATTACTCACATCTTTCAACTGCTCTTCTGTAGTTGAAAAATTAATATTTTTTACAAAAAGTGTAGTGTCTGGTTCAGGTGGCTCATCATCCTCCTTTGTATGCATCTTTTCATTTTCTTTAGATTCTTCTGTTATTATTTCTTTTTTAGCTTCTTTTGAATCTGTCGATTCTTTTCTTCTTTCTCTACTTTTACTTTTAATCATGTCAGTCTTAGACGCAGGTCTGGTGAAACTGTTATCTGGCGCCCATTCTAGATATAATGGTAGATGCTTATATTTCTTATAAGCCAATGCATGAAAAGCTTTGCGTGCTTCGGATGGTTCTAGAAATTCGACCAATGCTGTTATTCCCGCCGGTGGCATTACGATACGTGCGAGTTCTCCGTGCTTAGCAAACATTTCTCGGATTTCGCTCGATTTTGTTTGAGCCGGTAAATTCTTTATTAAGATTATAGTGGTCGACCTTTTTTTTGGTGCTTGATTGAAAGCGTTCAAACAGACGCCGTTTTCTTCTAAGAAAGCTTTTGTATCTTGAGCCAGCTGCGTCTCTCCTAGTGCCAGTTTGACTGCGGCGCTCATTCCATTTGATCCATCTTCTAATAATTTCTCCTTTGTCGTGTTGTAGCAACTCGCAATAGCGTCTGCTACAGCATTCTGTCCAAGAAACAATGTATTCCAGTTATGCGATGAACCCGCCGTTGCCTTATTTTGCAGCTCCTTCTTTTGCTTATAAGTTAAATTTTCCATATCAATGTCTTCCAAGGAAGCTTTCATTTTAGCAGGAAGAATATGTAACATTCTACCATCTAGTACAGTACCATCCAGTTCACTATAAGCCTTTAGAGCATGTTCTGGCATCAAAAAAGTTACCGTGCCAAATCCTTTTGGTTTCCTAGTCACTCTATCCACAGGTAAATTCACTTCAGATAGGGGACCATATTTTTCAAACAATTTTCTTATATCATCTTCTGTAATTGTATATGTCAGATTTCTAATAAACATTCTTCCAGATTCCGCTATATTCTCTTCATTTTTCAAGGCATCTTCTTGTTTTTTCCATTTAATATTTTTATCATTTGAATTTTCATTAGATTTAGTTGTCTCTTTTCGCTCATATTTGGATACAAATATCTGCTTTCCTTCTGTATAAATTCAAAATACACAATGAAAAATATTAGTACAATATATTTATCACACATACTATTGTATCATAATTAATATTAATTTTTACCTAGAAAACTTTTATTTTTCAGAAGAGCTCTCTTCATGGCTTGTTCTGTTTTGAAACCCACATAAGCAATACCTTTAATTTTAGGTGGAATTCGTATAGATGCAATTTTTACAGGATGAAAAAATTGTTTAATATGCTTTTTTACATGCTTATATGCAAGTCCTCGTAATTTTACAGTGAAGAATGTTAACGGACCATGTTTTGGCACATTGTTGGTCAGAGATTTTTCTTCGCTTTTTACATTCTGTTGCTTTTTCTTTAATGCCTCTATATACTGGAATTTAAAAACTTCATTAATAATACATACATTAGTATCATCCTTATATTCAATGATAATGACAATATTGTACCTCTAAATCTGATATAACTTTATTCGCAATCTTTTTCTCTTCTTTATTTTCCTCTTCTTCTTTTTCATCTTTATTTTCCTTAGATTCATCTTTGTCATCTTCAGATTCATCATCATCCGACTTTTCTTTTTCAGCTTCCATAGATATATCAATATCATTTTTCCAAATTGCTACATCATTACCAGTATGTGTTTCAAGGAATTCCATGAATAAAGGATCATCCTTATACTAAAAATTTAAAGTATGTAACATCTTAATACACCAATTTGACAAACAACAATAATTTTCCTTAATTAAAATAAGAAAGAGTTAATTTAGAATTACTAAAGAGATTAGAAAAAAAAATTTATTATACCTTGGTAAGTGCTTTCCGAATTTCATCCTTATTCTTTTTATCTGCATTCTCTTTTTCCTTCTTTTTATCAGTTTTATTTTCTTTTATATTATCCTTTTCTGTAAAATCTGTCAATTTTTCATTTGATTTATCAACAGCTTTATTAATTTTACTAGAAGAGCTATCATTCGCATGTTTACTCCATGATCTTGGCTTTGAGGAATCACCTAAAATATATCATTTTATATCACTGGGAGATCCAAAAATTTCTTAGTTTATTCTATTAGAACAATTATCTTTGCTTACATACCTAAAGCTGCACATTGCTCAACAAATATTTTACACGTATCAATATATGTTTGATCAAAAAAAGACTCTGCCAATTTTGCTTGTTCCTCTGTCTTGTATCCTATAAATGCAAATCGTCGAAACTTTCCATCTTTGGTATACTTCAACTGCACATCGGTCACAATACCCTTTTCACTAAACAATTCTTTCAGTTTAGTGTCTGTCACCTGTGTGCACATCAAATAAAAAATTAAATACACAAAATATCGACTCCAATAAAATTGTGTGTGCATGTACGTATCTTGTCATTTATAAAAAAAATAAATATGTATGATAACGTTACATATGGATTTTTTACGTACACTTTTCGGCAAATTTTTTACTATTAGCCGCGACATTTTATTTAACAGTTTCTCGAAAATAACCACGTGCTGCGTATGTATACATTCAAGAAATAAATATTAGAAAGAGAACGCAATAATTCTCTAGTGTCTTTATTTTTCTTCTCTCTTAAAGAAGGAACATAGGATCTGTTCGTTTTAACCGCATTGCTGCACTAGTGCAATTAGTTAGAGTGAAAGAAAGTATGTTTGTCTCTTTCTAACTTATTGCACTAGTGCAGCAGTGCAGCTAAAACGAACAGACCCATACTGTCAAACAAGTGTCACTAGATTGCCCACGTGACCAATTCAAGAATTTTCCGATTGGTTGATCCAGTGGAAAAATTCTACGCAGCTATCACTGTGATTGGCTACAACGTTATCGTGAATAGACGAATAGCTCCCAGTAAAGAATGCCGTTTCATTGGCAGATCTGCTTACGCACATTCGTATTCGAGTCCACCATCTCGTAATCCCGGGCCACCGGCGGGTCAACGATTGCGGTTTGTACATTGTAGCGTCGACGGAAGTTTTGTTTGTCCCTCTTTCGCGCCTGTTTATAACCGATTTTGTGACTTGGCGGAACTTGGTGCAAATTCCCGACGATGAGCGCCGAGGAAGAAGTGTTGCGCATCCAGAAGAAGCTCAATAAAATGTCGAGCGGTGACGGGACGGTGAGTAAGTGAGTAAAATAAAGATCGCATCGTATATTGGACTCCGAGCCCGCGTAAGGCGAGCTTCTTCAAGGAAGGCGCTGCATTTTTTTTCAACGTCGATGTCGAACACTCGAGCCGCGTAAAGTTATACCGTCGTGACATATTCGCTTTCTCTTCAAAATAATATTTACCATAGATTACAGTCAGCATATCACACGTTATCACACACTCCATGTATCTGTTACAGAAAAGTACGTTACTTAACATATCTCAAATTTAATACCTTGGATAAGTCTCGTGTAGTTGTACAGTTTTTAATGTCTGATTGCCATATTGTATCTATTATAAGTAAACATTGTTGTTTTGTAACAATGTTTTGCTTTTTCTACAAATATCTGAGAAGCAAAAACAAATTAAAATATTGAGATGTTAATATATAGAAATATCGAGGATATACATGTATATACCGCACAAAATTAATATATTAAGATAAGAATATTTAAATATGCGCAATATAATCTCTTTGTTAATCAGGGCCAGGAACAAGCTTTGGAATTGCTCAAGATACTTCAAAAATTGCCTGTTAACTTGGAACTCTTGACTAAAACACGCATTGGAATGACTGTGAATGCTTTGAGAAAATCGAGTAAAGATGAAGAAGTTATTTCTTTATCAAAGACTCTTATTAAGAATTGGAAGAAGTTCTTATCTGGTATGTGTGTATAATTGTAGCATATAATTGAGTTTAACACATATGTAAGAAAGAGATTTATTAAGAAACATAATTTATATGAGGTATATATATAATGATTAGGATCCAAAGAGAAGGATTCTACTTCATCAAGTAGTTCAAAGAAGAAAGATGAAAAATCAGACAAGGGAAAGGAGGAAAACGATCAGAAAAAGGAAAAGGATACGACAGATGCTGCTGATGTCAAAGTGAAGGAAGAAAAGCCGAATAAAGACATTCAGAGGAAACAGGCGACCTTCCCTGCTCCTACTACGACAGATGCAGTCAGATTAAAATGCAGAGAACTATTAATAGCAGCTTTACGCGTAGATGGAAAAGTCATCGATAGTTGTGCCAGTCCAGAAGAGTTGGCAGAAGAATTGGAAGAGGCGATATATGGGGAATTCAAAAATACTGATAACAGATACAAAAATAGGGTAATTAAACATCTCATTATTTTGCATGCAAAATTTTTTCCCTTTTATGTATGTACGTAAAAATAATTATATGGATAACAATTTGATCCATTCAATTACAAGGTACGCAGCAGAATCGCTAATTTACGCGATGCGAAGAATCCTAATTTACGAATGAACTTTCTCGTGGGCGCAATTACACCTGCTCGACTCGCGGTAATGACGGCGGAGGAGATGGCAAGCGACGAAATTAAGCAACTACGCGAACAATTTAAAAAAGAGGCCATCAATGATGCACAACTTGCCACTGTGCAAGGAACCAAGACCGATTTGCTCAAATGCGGCAAATGCAAGAAACGTAACTGCACGTATAATCAGGTGCAGACACGTTCAGCCGATGAACCGATGACAACCTTCGTATTATGTAACGAATGCGGAAATCGATGGAAGTTCTGTTAAGTTTCGCTTCAATTATTATTTCTTGAATCTATGGCGCTATCGCGTAATTCGACGAAATAAATTTTTCAATCATCATCTAGAATTCGATAAAATGAATCGATTATGAAAATGTGGATCTTTATGAATCTTGTCGTAAAAAACTTTTGTTTATTAATTTTACATATATGTATAGGTATATGTATATGCACATATGTGTGTATATATATATATATGCATGTACATACATACATTTATGAAGAAATCAACAATATTTTAAATATGCAATTTTTATTGTATATCTCAAATAATGATTTCTTAAAAAAAGATATATTTCTCTACTGAGATAATTTATTTTCTCAAAATTCTATATATATTTTAAGGATTACATATATAAATCCTATTTTATCGATTTTTTCTTCAATAATTTATGAATTATCTAATAAGATAATTTATTTCTAATTGAAGATCTATATATACAACTGCTAAACAACAGTGAATGACAGATTGTACATTGGTCCATTGATTGTAGTGACACTTTCCTTGAAGAATATCAATTTCCATACTCTGTACATATTGAAATCGACTTATTAGATTTTAGCTTTGCTTAAGAGTTCAAAGTTTTTGGAGATTGTCTCTTTCCAAAGTGTGAATCTATATACATACTTATTAAAATACGTAAACGGCATTTATTTAAAGTCTTTTTATTCCAATTGTCCGATTCACGCGGTATTGATTGTTGTCACTCCACTACACGTTTTCACTTATGCATAATCATGTGGTATAAATCATTTTGTCACTGTGCTGTACGAATAATATCGGATAATGTCTACAAGAGCTATGACTTGCGTCTGTATCTCTAAAATATACAGATATGTATATCGTATGAAAGATTACTTGTTCAAACTTTCTGTGATTACCTCTCTCTATTTATAAAAAATATTCTGCATTTAGTTGGATGAGATTTCCTAATTGAAATTTTCAAGTTGCATATATTAATAAAAAATTGTTTCATCATTCTCAAGCTGCATCGCGTGTTGCAATTTTACTTAAGACATTCTAAATATGAATATATAAACTAACATATAGACTAACGTTAACACAATGACTATACTTTTTATTTAAAATTAGTTTACGAGGTACATTTATATACATAAAAAATTTATGACTATTACATTAAGCTTATGCAATATAGACAATATATTCGTGCATGTGTGTAATAACGTAACAGTAAAACTCTGTTAAAATTCACATTTATACTCGGCGCGTTCGAATAAGAACTTATAACTCATTTACGTCTAATTTGTATCAACTTGCTATGGGTGGTGATACCGGAATGTCGTAAGTTTTCTCTCTCTCTTTCTCCTTTTCGCTCTAAACAAAAATCGCGCATAACACGTAAATTACGTGCCGATTCTATTCAAACAATACAGTTTAAGAGATTAAGATCCGTATTCGTACTCCATATTATTTTTTTATTAAAAACTATCTAAATTTGTATTTCATTTTAAATGAAAAAATGTGTGTGTTTATATTATCAGACAGTCATCACATTTAATATATAATGAATAGAAGGAACTTTTGTAAATTTAAATGTTTGTAAGATTTTATCTTGTGTATTCACAATCCACATTAATCCCTTCAAAATGGTGATTTTAATTCTTAAACAAAAAAAGTTCAAATTTATATGTACAGAGTGACATTTAATATAAAATGCGGAATACGAGTACGAATCTCTCCGTGTCTTTCGGATATTTTAATAGCTTTAGATCAAGCAATAAAGGAATCAATGGTGAAGAGATGAACAAATTGGGGGAGCAGAAATATCGCAATAAACAACGTTAACCAGGTTTTTGTAGGCCCATAATATTTTTTCGTGAACTTCAAAACGGGCTCGACTGACAATCACAGGTGACACTAACGGTCACAAGTCATTCTTAAATGATAAACAAGAGAAATATGCACATCTCTCTTTCTCTCTGCTTAAAATTATTTTCCATAATATTACAATAGAGTCATTTACTGTCTTAACGATAGACTGGTGTGTGCTGCGAATCGTTCTTAACGTTCTTTTCTCTCTCTCTCTCTCTTTTGTTAATTAATTTACTGTATACACACACATAGGCTGGACTCGTATATATATTTATACTTAATATACATCGAGTCGCGATTTTTATACATGCAACATTTCCTCAGTGAATTTTTTTTTATCGGGACAAACATGTAACAGACACTTGAGATTCTTGCAATACACGGATATACAATGTACATATATGTCGGTATATTTTAATATGTATATAGAATTATATGATATATATATATATATATATATATATATATATATATAAATCTTTTTATTTCTTACATGACAAACGATATATATAATATATGCATTCTCGTATAATTCGTTTTTTAGTAGATTTGTTCTGTTATATTCTCACTTTTGTTACTTTTTTTATCCTTTTCTTCGTAAAATGCACGACACAAAAATAAATGCTTGTATCTGTGAATTATATTTACCTCTTTTTTCCTACATTCTTTCTCTCTCACCACACATACACACACACCCACATACATACATACATACATACATATACAGGCATCTCCGCGATGTACTCTTAATTAACTGTATATAGCTTAGCTTTTTTTTTTATTTTTACAAAATATCACAAAAATCACACCAGCCTTTGTTCGCAGCAAGAAACCAAGTTGTTAAAACCTTCAGAACGATTTTCTCGATTCGTTCTGCGTCTCGCCCTCTCGCACTTGATAACATTAACAACATATATTTTAACACTGTATTAATGCAACTGCACGTGCTTGTGGAGAAACATGTACCATACTATATAATTATTTTTGGCAGTGATTCGCGTAGTAACAGAAATAAAAAAATTGTATACAGTAAATATACTTATTTAATTTCCAATATGTATCGTACTGAGAATTTCACAAAGAAATGAAATGTTGAGAGAGAGAAAAATCTTTCTCGATTTATTTTAAATATCTTCAAGTATCTTGATCAATGCACATTGTACTGGATAAATGTACAGTTTTATTCATTTCTATTAATCTAATGTTCGCGAATCAAAGCTTGAGCGAGACAAATCACTCGAATTGAAATACAAATTTGACTGAAATTTTGTTACGAAATTTTAATATAATTATTTTATTATATAATTGTAATGAAATTACAATTTAGATGAAACTTATGATTTCGGATATCGCGGTCTTGTAACTCTTCTTTGTAGAAAAAGAATTTAAAAATTGTTCATGTCAACCGTATCTAATGATAACTGAATATAATCGACGGTGAATTTGCGTCGAGAAACGACATATGGCAGCTCTCAAAATCTCGGCATGATCTTAGTTCTCATGTTTCGATATTCGCACGTGCCGTTGCACATATACATTCGCACATAATCGCGCATACGACATAATATCGCTTTAAGATATAGACATCAATTTTTTTTCGTTTTTATCACGTATCACGAATTGTTGCCTCGTTTCGAAAAAAATGCTCGCGCAACTGGCAGGCAGCTTTTACAAGCTCGTAGTCCAAAATGCTCGAAGAACAGGGAAAGCGAATCGCGGACGATGAAAAACAATGAAGCGCCAGTGACCAGCACAATACGCACACGCGTTTCCAACAAATGTACAGATCGCGGCGAAGATACATCTAACGCTACTGTCTTTTATAAATACACGTTTGTCCAATTCTACCGCACGGTAGGTACTCTTCTAAGCAAGGCCTGACGTACATGCGAAAATTTTTGAAAATTCGGAGAACATTTCTCCTTTTATGCACGCATCGATGGTCTGACACTCTCTTTCCAGAGAAAGATCCGTGTATCTTATTTTTAGTTTATTCAAAAAGCGCTCGACGTAGAATCATATTCAACAATATATTGGTTTTTTCTTTTTTTTTAACTCTTCTTACAACTTTTTTACAACAAATGGATATTCCCAATGGGAAGTCTCTTCGAATCATCATGAAGAGAAAGAGGAGAGTTCGCGTATATAAAATATTCAGTTTATATTTTTTAACTGATTAACATTTTTATTTTATTATCGAAATTGTATTAGACTTTTCTTATTCATTACGAAAGAGAGACGAGGAACAGCAATCTCCCACGGTGATTACATGTAGACTGTTTTATCATTAAGCTCGCCATCTTTCTATTTAACGAGATTTATAGGAAAAATATATTCCTAGTTTTAAAAAAATTAAATTCGTATGCAAATAAAGTCATTTACGCTGTCGACCTATTACTTTTGATAACCTCGAAGATTCGAAAAATATATTCTTACAAATTCATATAAGAAATGTTGAAAATATCATAAATAAATTAAATTAAAAATAAATTAATTAATATATATACACAAAAAATTATTTAAAAAATAAATTATTAAAAAATTATATATTAAGAATATGTTTAAGAATTATTGAAAATCAAAATTTTTAAACATTTTTTTCAATTTAGTAACATTATTGCAATGTTTTATTCAGATTTTGTCATATAATTTTATAAATGTGTATTTATTGCGATAATATAACTTTCGAAGTTTCAAACTTCGAAATTTCGATTTTTGAAGATTTTAATTTCGAATCTTCGAAGTTTCAAAATTTGAAGATTTTAATTTCGAATCTTCGAAGTTTCAAAATTTAAATATTGAAGCCTTCGAAGTAAATCATCAACCCTATTGTCAACGCTTCCGAAAGTTACGAAAGGACGCTATTGTTTGTATCGGAAAATCATACATTCCTCATAATGTACGTATTATCTATGTGTCCCCGTGTTGTCTTTCGTGATAGGCGCAATATGCAAAAGGAATCTCTACGATTCGAGATACGCATTTATCGGGTTAACACAGTTTCTTTCTCAAATTCCCTGTACTTGTCTCCCTGAATGTTTCATTTAAAATACGACTCGTTAAAAGTTTGGTCTTAAGCAGATGCCTAAGATCGCAATTAGCATTCAAAAATATATATACATGAATTATTATGAATAATTAATTCTTCCTGCGAATTATCCAAGGCAACATGATGCATCAGACTTGTTTTATACAGCTGTGAGAAAGTTCGACGCCTCATTACTTACACATCGATAACGATTCAACAAAGTATTGGTGGATGTCTGTAACGGAGAATGTGTGTGTTTATATTTTCTCTAACCGAACGATGCGCTTGGTCTAAAGATTCTTTTTTAAATAGGACTGTCCAGACAGAAATAGTTTTTGCTAAAAATAACATTGCAAAATGTCTGCATTCCAGTTTTTACTCGATATCAGAATCTCGAAATCATTCGTTGTTCGTCGATAAGACACTGAGATCGAAAAATTGCCAAGCGGTATCCAATTGATGGGCAAAAGTTGTTTTTAGCTCGCTCGAATTCATTTCAATGTATTATTAGCGATTCATTAAAAAGATTACAAATCTTGCGTTCCACAATAAAAAAAAAGAAGTCTCTACAGAACGACAAATTCAATTTGCCATCCGTATGCTAATTGTACAACAATCTCGCGCTTCAAACGCGCGAAGAACAATAGAAATATTTGCAAGACTCGTAAACAACTTTTTGTCTTTATGTTAGCACAAGAAAAAAATAGGAGATCCATCCATAAGTTTGCGATGTATCATCGCAAATTGTCATTGTGTGATCTCCCGAAATATTACAGATCACTTCTTCCTTATTACTTGGCCATTATTTATCCAACTATTGCGCGCGCCTTTGTCTGAAATAAACTAAAAATTATAAATTTGGGACTCTGTGCATGAATTTGCGCTTCATGCCGTCGATCAAGTTCCCGCCAAGTGGAACAATTCCGGCTGACCGTGCGCCTGTCACAGTAGCCGTGTGCGACAATAGTCCCTCGATTTGCACTGAGAAATGCACTTCTAGTTATCCCAAAGAGCATTTACACAGTTCAATGAAAATTATGCTTTCTACATCTAGCAGAATAATCTTCATGCGTTTCATTTGGCCTCATCTTGTTCCATTGGTTCCTCGGAAACCTCTCGGGAATGTTCTGGCGTGGTTCTGTGCAAGCAAAAAATTTTTATATAATAAAAAACGCATACACACAAACATATATATAAATTTAATTATAGATTATTAATATTTAATAATATATAGAAATTATTAATAATATCTAATAATTAAATATATAATTAAATATATAAAGAAATAGACAATATATACAGCAAATAAACTTAATGAATACTAACGTGAGGTTCGTAGGCTGCTGCATAGATAGAGAGGCCATCGCAGATACCGTTTCCGTTTCGTCGTGTTCTTTTTGGCTTGCTTCTATCGCGCTCATCGCGACTGTATGAGCAGTGAGTTTTACGCAAGGCCAATGTGACATCTAAGAATGTAACATATCAAATTTTACAAAAAAAACTAAATATATACTTATATTTAATACATCTTTAAAAAAATTTTTCTTTTCACACATCTAAATATTTGGAAATAAAATAAAAAAACATCCAACCTACCTGAATGGCGATGGTCTTCTGCAACGTGTCGATGGCGTTTTGACAGGGAATTCTCGCGAGTTCTTCGTCTCGAAGTGGACTAGGCTCATCACCAAGCAGCGCCCGGACGCACTCCTGCGCCGAATCGCAGATTGCCGCCAGATCATAGCCACCTTCCAAGGCGAGAACGACTTTGCCGTCAGCTAAATTAAGTAACTGCTGTGTCATCTTGCCGAAACACGCCGGACTGACTTTGTAACCGCCCAACGGCGCTGGATGTCCCACGGCCGCGTCGAAGCCGGCCGAGACGATCACGAGGTCCGGATCGTACTCTTTGGCTATCGGCATAACGATCGTGCGAAACGCCGCGAGATACTCCGCGTCGCCCATAGGCGGATTCAGACCGCCGGACCACGCCACGTTCACATTATAGCCGAGACCCTCGCCGGCGCCGCACTCGGTGGGTCCGCCGGTTCCAGGGAAGAAATTACCGTCGTCGTGTCTGTGTATCGACAGGTACAGAACTCGCGGGTCGTCGTAAAACATTTGCTGGGTGCCGTTTCCATGATGAACGTCCTGTTCCAAGATATAAGAAAAAACTGCTTGAATATTTTATCAATAAATAGAAAGGTCATAGGCGATAGAGAGAATATTTTATCACAGAATGTGCCCGAAAATGTATATAATTGCAATATAATCTAAATTTATGTATGTATATTCGTATATTGTATGTTTATATCCGCGATATAAAGTCGTGTAAATTTAAAATAAAAGATCCCGCGTTTAATATAAAATTATGCGTGTTACATTATGTTGATGATTCTCACCCAATCTAAGATTAAAATTTTTCTAACGTCGAGTTTTTGCTGCAGAAGTCTCGTTGCAATCGCCACTGAATTGAAAAAGCAGAAGCCCATAGCCTGGTTAGTTTCTGCATGATGTCCAGGTGGTCTCACTACAGCGAAGCCATTCTTAATATCGCCTAATGCCGTTTTGAACGCAAGTTCGACGACGCATCCTACTGCCATTCGAGCGGCGGGAGCAGTATTAAGTTCGTTCCACGTTGTGTCGGAATCAACGCCAACTCCGCCGCAAGGAAGTCGAACGAAGCTCTTGATGGGTAATTGCGACAGCTTGGACATATCTAGCTTTTGTCGATTCAATGGATTCGTTCCTGCACACATTATGAAATTAGATTGATTGATTAGATAAATACATAAATAGATAAATTGCTCTCCAGTTTAAGATTCAGCTTTATTTTTTAAAGCATGATTTTTTAAATTCTCTTTCATTTCTTTAGTATTTTATCATTTAATGAGATTTAATTTATATCATCAATATGCTGCTATTAACATATTTATTCAATAATCATACAAGTCAGAAATCTTCCATATTTTAAAAATAACACAATTAGCTTCAAATAAAAAAATTTATAAAATTTTATAATTTTCTCTTTTCTAATTTAAAATTTTTCTAAATTTTCAAAATAACAATATTAATCTTAAAATTATGATACGTTTTATCTCATTTAAAGTTATTGTGGATGAAGATGAAAAAATAAGACAAAAAATAAATAAAAAGCAAGACTCACCGAATAAGAGTGCATGCGCCTCGCTGTGGCATGTTTGGATTTCTTCGAGCGAAGCTTTGCGAGAGCGCACTCGATCGCAACGCTGCAAGAGACCCGTCTCCGAGAGTCTGGCCCACACGCTCTGTAATCGGCCACCATGTTCAGGATGACCTCTGACCGTCTCGCCACAAACACACGCATGTTTCAGCATCAACGGATCATATGCTAATCCAGTAGTTGGTCGATGAGGAGAAACTCGTGCGAACATATCGCCGCTGTTGCCCTGAGGACCTTTAGATTCAAACTTTATGAGTTAAAAATATTCAAATGTCAAATTATCCGAAAATGTAATGAAATCCGTAAAAAAACAAAGATCGTTTATAAGTTGTAGATTAAACTTAGGCATGTATTATTTCTCTATTTAATCTCCGCAAAGATTGGAAGAAGGAAACATTCAAATTGCATACAGTTTGATTGAAGACAAATGCAAATCTATTCAACGCATCAAAGCCAAAACCATTCTTTATCAAAAGCATACTCAATGATTACTAAACAAGGCTCTTTTAGTGCATCTATAAAGAAAGCTCAGAAGAATTAAAATCTTTACCTAAGTGTACAAGAGGACTCGAAAGCGCTCTCGAGAGCGGTCTGGCTGATTGAGAAGTCCTACTTCCGGCGTAGACGGTTGATTCGTTCGTCTGCAGCGTATGTCTCATCATGAGATCTCTTTGCTGTTGCAAAAACTGTTCGCGATCCCTCTGCTGCTTCGAGATCTCGCTCTCTTCAGGATGATCTTTCTTTCCCGTGAGATCTATCACCTCAGACTCTTCGGTTTCCGGTGCCTCGTCCAGTTGATTAGCTTGGCCACGCGAGCCCACTCGCGTTAGCACCGTCTGACGGATCTGTTGTTTCAGATAGTTGTGTGCCTGTTGTTGATCGTGTATTTGTTTCTCCGCGAGATATTCCTCATAATGGGTGGTCGGTGCGATTATCCCGCCCTGCAACATTGGGTGACCCAGGGGCAGTGGCGCGGATTGGGTTCTACCTACGCGGTAAAAAAGAAAAAGTCGTGTAAACCTCTTGGAATCGCCGATAACATTGGTTATTGAAAAACGCGTGCTATGTTTCGCGGCAATGGCTCTCCTCGAGAAACTTTCGATGACTGTCCAGCATCGTTTTTAGAATCGCTTATCTCAAGAGAGTCCATTGTCCAATTGGAACAGGGCACGCGCACGGTGTAAGAGCTTCTACGAAGACAAAGAGGGAACATACTACCTAAAGGCCGGTGACCAGCCTTATGAAGTCTCGCGTGAGCTACTTGTGTATCCGTGATTGGCGGCGCGGTGTGATACACCGTTGCCGCAGCCGCCGCCGGATGCTGCCTGCTGCCCGCTGCCGCGGACGGCGGCGGCGCCGTTTGCTCCTGCAGGTTCTGCTGGATCTGCTTGTGGATGTACGCCGGTTCGCCTTCGATGACCGTCAAGGACGGATAGAACGGTAGGGTGCCGTGCAGCATCTGACCGGTGAGCGGCATCCCGAGACGTGCCGTGAACGCGGCGCGGACTTCCGCCTCCGAAACCGGCGCCAGTTTCGTCCCACTCTGCAAGAAGAAAATAGCAACTGTCAGATATTCGAAAAGAATCCATCGACGCTGTCTTACTGTTCTGAAAACACAAAATACCGATCTTTCGAAATAAATATAACAAGTGACTTTTGCATTAAGAAAAATTGAATTTTATTATAATATTAGACTGTTATGTGTGGTTATACAAAGAAAATTCTAAGCAAGGAAAGGAAAATCATTTCAGCAAATGTGTATAAAGGGGAAGACATAACATTAAATTATGTACAACAATGTAAATCATAATGACGAAAACAGTGAAAAAAAGACAGATTTACCGATGAGCTCGACGGCACATGGGGTCTACCCAACGAGATGTTAGGCATGGACGGTGAACTGAAGAGCGAAAGATCCGAAAGGCTGCCTTGCTGACTACTACTGGTAAGACGTCCCCCGTACGCAGGACTCTCACCTTCCTGCAACAAATCCGCCCAAACATTTTCTCGCGAATATTCTCGTAATGGATGATTCGGAAAATTCATATACACGGCATAACAAAAATGTGTGCGTGTGCGCGGGAAGCTTACTTCCTGTATCGCCGTGTTGCTTCCAGCAGTGGGACTGGCTTGAGAATTGTTCACAGTCGGAGGAGAGTTAGGCCCGGATTCAGGATTGCTGCCAGAATCTGTAAAAATGTACAATTAATACGTCGGAACCTTAGTAAAGAAACAACAACATGTGTCGCCTCGTTGCGTAACAGGAACTGAATGTGCGAAATAATCGCGGATGATGATCGCGCGCTCACATTACTCGAGATCTAATCTCGCTTACTACGCGATTGTCTCGAAAGAAGACGGACGTGCGACTTTGATGAGATCTCCCGAAAAGAATCCGACTCCTCATACACCCGTAATGTAACTCGTATATATAAATCTCGACCGCGACGACGCGTGACGAGGGACCGACCCGAACAAACGACGCGTTCAAAAATGCGTCCAAAGACATGCTTCGGATCACACCTTTCGATCCGTCGCATTATTCGGGGAGTCTCTCGTCAAGCGACTCATTCAAATACCAACGGAAAGACAGCTGACAGTTTTTAGCACTAATTTACATATGTTAATCGGATAGAAGTCTAATTCATGCTGTTACAGGAGAGTAAGTAAGCAAACGTCAAAAACTCAACAGTCAATTAATCGTTCACTCAGGGTGCAATGAGAAAGAGAGAGATAGAAAGAGAGAGATAGATAGATAGATAATGTTCGGCGAATGCTCACGCAGAGGAAAAATAGAGAGAACTCTCAATCTAGGATATTCGGTAGTCCTCTCGAAAGAAGCTCGAATGTGCGCGCGCGCTTTTTATGTATGTGTGTGTGTGAGAGAGATAGACAGAGAGAGAGAGAGAGAGAGAGAGAGGAACGTACTTGCTAGTAACGACTTCCTCTTGAGGTGCGATAGCAGGCGGTCCTTCCGACGTGCCATCAGGGGTGAGTTTCTCGACGCTGCCATGTTCCTCTCCACGCGCTGTTTTAGTCGCACCTTCAGCAGGTTCGGCTCCGAGGCTGGCCAATTTTTCAGCCGGTTGTTAGTCGGTCATTGTCATACCGAAGAGGGGCAAGGGGGAAAGGGGAGGGCGGAGGAAGGTGCGGTTGGAGAAGAGGTACTCGGACTAAAAGGCGCGAGAGAGCATGATCGCTCGCATTCGCTCGCTCGTATTATCGTTTTGCTGGCGCGTACGAAATCGCGAAAAAAAGCTCGCGAAATGAAAATTTTCAGAGAGGCCTCCTCGTGACACTCGCCTGGTTTGCGCGTCGATTTGTAATTAAAAAGTGGAAGTCAAAGCGGGCTAAATGTCAAGCGGTTAAAATGTCAAAAATGATATTTTTTGAAGTAACAAACGAGTGAGAGTGAGGTACGTTTGCAAAAGTACTATGTATTAATTTATTTAGTGTGTATTTAAGCAAGTTAAGAGACGTTAAATCAAGCAGTTTGAGATATCGAATTAGTAAATATTTCCGCAATCATACACGAATGAAATTTATGATATCCTCTCTTGTTGTAGTATTTCTGACACTTTGACTTCTACTTTGATTGGGCGAAGAAAGCTCTCTCGCGAAATAATGAAGATGGAAAGCTTTTTGCACGGTGAGATGAAATCCATTATTAAAAGATAAAAGAAGAAGAGATAATCTTAGAACTATTAGACGAATGAGAAGGAAATTCCTCAGATTCAATTTATAAGAAATTCTTGTACGGGGACTGAAACCTTAATTTAAAATTTAAATTATGTAAAATTCTGTAATTGCAACGCTATAATTATAATTTTATACTAAATTTTTATACTAAATTTTTGTGATAAAATATACACACAAAAAAATGCAAGTAACTTTTTTTTATATTTACCACTATCATTGCGTATATTTTCATATAAAAAAATAGTTTTTCACGATTATATAATATGAAAATACACGAGTAAAAATATTGTCAATCAAATATTTCTTCATTTAATTCTTTTGCGATCAAATATCGAATATAAACAAATATAATAAAACATAATTTATTATAATAAAAAAAAGTTAAATATGAAAAAAAATAAATTCTCTTCCAGTGCTAACAATATAATTATCTTTTAATACTTATCGAGAGAAAAAGATATATCTTCTATATTTCTTCCCAGATTTCTCTTTGCTTTTTCAATTCTATGAGCTCGTGGAAATCGTACCATTTATCTTGATGTAATGGATTGCGTCGCGAGAAATAAAGATGCTATTTTTAAAGAATAAAAAGAATCACTGAGGGGACAAGAGAGACTACTCGTCGCGTGCGTGCTTTCTTACTGTGGAAGCTGCAAGTGCTTTTATTTATATACAAGTTATACATTGGTGCTTTCTTCATATAAGTATGCGCAATCGGCGAATTAAAATAGGCGATTATTCGTTCGCCAAGTGATCGATATAAATTACAAGCACGTGCGCACGCATCTCAACGAGAGCCAGCGAACGGACAAACGATCCTAACTTTTTTTTTAAGCCGGGCAGGCATAAATTAAAAGTGTCACGTGCACAGAGGGAAGACGAATATTCGCGTAAACTAATTCGGGGACTCGGATCGCGAATAATTAATTCAGAGATCAAACACGCCGACGTATCGACTTGTCGTATGGTGTCGACGTTATCACCGGATAATCCGATCGAGCGAATCTTGTTTCGAAGAAGAGAATCGCACACATTGTCTTTCTCTATATTGACGGATAAAATCATAATCGGAAAAAGCAAACATCATATATATTTATATATATCGACGTAAGCTGCTCTGGGATTCAACTCGGTTCTCGGATAGCGAAACACCATGCTTTAGTAGACACATTCTATCGGCACACATAAACTACCTGTACGAGAGCTATGCATAATACTGCACCGATTGTGGTTCCGAACTCTGGACTGGGCATTCGATATGGATGCGCCGCATTCGTGGTGCTGGATGATTCAGATTGTGGTTGCAACCTGGACAAAGAAAAAATTCCAAACACGCTGTTTATATTAAAATTATTAATATCCAAAACAAATTATTAATTAATATTTTATAATAAATTATTAATTAATAATTATTATTAATTAATAGTCTAGGAAAAGAATAATGGAATATAAAGTACACTCAAAGAATATGTTTGCAATTTTTAATAATTACACATGATTCGTATGATTTAAAAAGTAAAATATAAAAACATTTCAAATGAAGGTTAAATAAAATTCAACTATATTAAATCACTATCATTTTAACAAGATAAAAAGCGCATAATTTTTAGTAAAATAAAATTAATTTTTTTAATATCGCAAATTTATATTTTATATATTTAAGTATTTTATATATTTCTTTATATTTCTTATATTTTCTTAATAAAGAATTATTTAAGTAATTTTAATTAAGTAAAATTTAATTTATTTGAGGGATATTAATCTCGTTTGCGTGAATCGTATTAACATTTTCATAAGTTGGAAATAATTTTTTCTTACGACTTGCCCTGAGATAACTTAGGCGAAGTGAAAGATATGATATTTCGAGTATAAATAAGTCGAAATATTGCGTATGCACATCTGAGACAGGGATTATCATCGGCGGGGACAAGGAAATAACGTCGAGAGCACTTTGGCCGTTGCTAAATGGAAAACTGGGCCAGGTTGTGCTATTACCGTTACTTCGTCGGCGGCGGCGAAGACTAACGACAACGATCGCGACGCGACCCATTAAAATCGAAACTACGTGCAAATTTTGATTCGGTGCCGTCAAAACCGATCGGGACATCGAGAGAAGCAAAGCTTTTTTTAGCTTCTTTTAATTATCCTAAAAATGGAATAATATAATATCTGGCGACCTGTCTCTATTTTCAAAAATAAAAAAGGACATAAATATTCATGGCTACTCTAATTATAAGAGAGACATGTATGCGGTAAATAAAAGTATTTTTAATATATATATATTTGTAATAAAGTGAAATTTGAAAGTTCTGTATCTCTAAATATAATACCATAATATATTTTTTCTAAGCACTTGTTCCTAATAGAGGAGATGAATTCTTAGAAGAATAACATCTACAGAAATCTTCCTTAAATTTACAAGTAAAAAAAAATATTTGACAAAAATGGTTTACACTAATGATCGAACCTCTTACTTTCCCAAAATAAAATTCATTCAATATTAAATGGAGAATAAGATTGTATTGACTGTATGTGTGTGTGTCAAATTTTATTTATAAAAAAAGCAATTTCTATACAAGAAAATCTTTCCGAATCCAAATATATCAGAATTCAAATACATCAGAACCACACACATTTATCAAAATATCTCAAGATATAATAATTTTATTTTATTTCACCCCGTATCACATATTAACTTACCAGCTCCTGTATCCGGGTGTACCAGGTACAGCTCCGTTCGCCGCAGCGGCTGCCTCTCTCTGCTTCTTGTTCACCAGGAAGCTCTATAATCGTAAGCACTTTGTAAATAGAGAATCGTGTAGACTCGCATGACAGATTCAGAATGCATATCGCTTATTTTGTTAAAACTCGGAAAATCAATACTTAAACTCAGCTCGTCTGATAAACTCCTCTACTTCTTTGACTTCTAATTAGACTATTTTTCAGAAAAATTAAAATAAAATAATTATTTTATGTTAACGTAAAAAATAAAAGCTTATTAACATTTTTAATTTTTAATTCGATCTACGCTAAATCATTTATTTTCTCTTTTTTATATTTCTTGCTAAAAATTGTTTATCGCACACATAGTTTTAAAATAATATCGCTTCTTGATAGACAATGTTATGAATATATTTTGTAAAGAAAATCGATAAATAAAGGTAACTTCTTGCATAAAATTTTCAATTCGAATGTGCTAAAAATTTATATACATATATTATGATTATAAAATTATATACATACTATAAATATAATATAAAAATATGAATATAAAATTATATACATATATTATAATTTTTAAAAAAATAAAGAAACAAAAACTTACCTGAAGGCGTTGCTTGACTTCTGTGGACGCGTTCGCGCTGTGATCGTGTTTGTCCTTCTTCCTGAGAGCCTCCAGTCTGTCCTTTTCTCGTTTCTCTTCTAGCTTCTGCTGCTCCCAGAGCTGCGGCAGAAACAAATTCTGTTCTGAGAAAATTTTCATTTTTATTAGTTTCATCTATATACTTTCATCTCGAAAATATTATCACAGGATTTTAAAAATGTAAAATTGCAGTTTTTATTCATGATTGGCGAGAACTATGTTCGATCAAAAACAATTGTGCGTGAATTCGCGGTAATGTATATTGGCGATTGTGTAGAAGGGCACGTGCAAGGGCAATATTTATTAGCTCCCTCCCTCTACCTCTCATTTCCCCCCAGGAATTGCATAATATCTTAATTGATTTAATCCGGCATATACGCATAACCTGTGCAATTCAAATCATCATCTACAAGCTACGCAAACTATATCCTCCGCGTTATTATATCAACGGTTTTAGCTCGAAATACGCTACAGCTGCTGTATTAATGATTATGGGATTCAATGGTAATTTTCCATATGCTATTTGGCCTACTCTTCTCACATAGAAGAAGTTATAATTTCCAAGTAAAATTTTGTATCTCTTACACGATAAAACTATACTGATTTTACAAGCTAGAGAAAGATTAAATATATTTTTAGTTTTTTCAAACAATTTTTACAAGAGATAAATATGCAATTTATAGAATATCGAATATCTTTGCTAGTAATGGAAAAAATAGATACGTTGAAAGCCTCATTAAAACATTGGAAAAATAAAGAGAAATCAGGTTCTGAAACATATCAATTACAAAACGAGTCATTACGAAATATGCGAAATAAAAAAACTATCTTGACTTTTCGACAAACAAAGTACGAATAAGAGAGATATAATATAAATCGGACGTATATATATCTAACGTGGAGGCGCGAAATCCCGGGACATCATCGCGCATCAATTTAACTCGCGTGTCGCGTAACCTCTTGCTCCGATTGATGTCCCCCCCCCGCTCCATAATTCGACCATAATCGTCGGAGAAACGAAGTAACAGCATGATTCGACCGCAGAGTATCGAATCATTTATTAACACATTTATAAATCCGACTCCCAAGTTGGATAACGCGCTCGTTCGCGATAAGATTCATTGCGTCTCTTCCCCTGTCGCTCGAAGAGACTTCCGAATAATCTCGCGACTGACCACGGAAAACGAGACTCCACAGAGTTCATCGACATCGTCACCACGGCTCTATTCTACACAGTCTGGCATCGTTCGCGCGACGTCTCGTTATTCGCCAATTAATAATCCGCCGCACACGTGGAACGCTCGCGTCTTTAACGAGGCTGCGCGCTCTCTTTTACGCGCCAAGTTGCTTTCTCGCCCGCGCATTTTCGTATCGTTAATTCGAGTATTAAATTCTTATTTAATATAGCTAAAGTTAGATAAAAGTCTATAAGTTACTTAGTCGGATTCAAAATAAATAAATAATAAATATATAAATAATACAACATTAATATAGAAATATGTAAATAATGAATTCAATGAAAAATGATGGCCTAATATATGTATATTCAATAATTTAAAAAAATTAATCAAAGTTAAGAGAAACTTAAATTTATTTTAATCTTATTTTATAGACAAGTTTTGTATTTTATGTTTACTTTTTAAATTCTTGCTTAATATAGTTAGAGTTAGATAAGAGTTTATAAGTCAGTTACTCAGTCGGATTCAAAATAAATTAATTAATTAATTAATTAATAATAAATACACAAATAATACGATATTAATATAGAAATATATAAATAATGAATTCAATGCAAAATGATGATCTAATATATATATATATATATATATATATATATATATATTCAATAATTTTAAAAAATTAATCAAAGTTAGAGGAGAAACTTACATTTATTTTAATCTTATTTTATAGAAAAATTTTGTATTTTATTTTGTATTTAGGGTCTTAAAAACCGTGATAAATTTTACTTCCGAATAATAAATAGTAACTCATATTTTTGAGTAATAACGACATTTTTTCCCTTGTATCTCAAGTATAAATGATATATCATCATGTTCACAATTAAACACTTTCATCTAATCTCTTTAGTTTCCATTATATAACAAATCGTACTTACAATCATCGATGAAATAACATTGTGTGCTAATCGATAACCGAAAGAAAGCGTGACGTGACATGATAATATACAAAGCACAATCGACCAATAAAACAAATCGGGACAGTTATTGCGCGCAATGCACCTGCGAGAACGAAAACACCTGCGCGCACCTGTTAATACCTCCCCCGCTCGAAGACGGAAGTGACGTCGGCACGCGCCACAGGTGCAACGGTATGTTTACGGTTTACTCGGCGGCCGAAAATAGCATAGACGTTATGGGATGTCGATCAAAGGTGCGAGGAGAACGGATGAATGAATCAAAACCCTCTCTCTTTCTCGCTCGTCCACAATAAAGTCTTCTTCGAAGTCCAATCAAGTTGAAATGAAAAGAGATCCAATTCATATATCATGATACAACTAATTTATTAGTCGCAGATATTACTCGAGATATTTTTTTTAATATAATTAAAAATAAAATATAAGATGAAAATAAAGATGAAAAATAAATGAATCATCGATTTTTATGATAAACACTCTTTATTATTCATATTTTAAAATACTAATGAATTTTTTAAATTTGTAAAAGTACTCATATTAACGATAAATAGACTTCTATTTGATCAATTGTGATCTCTCCACTTCAATTGTAATAGAATTAGATTTGATTTGATACACAATAAGAATTATGTATGCGAAATGATTAATTCAAAGTTTGCGTTACTCTAAAACATGCTACAAACACGTCTATTTTAATTTATACCCTTCGTTTCGCGTCGGTGAATAGCAATTTTCTATGACATATTTATACGGGATGTTACACGTGTTAGATTATAGGATGAATCCATGCATAATTACAATAAATGAGCGTCACGATGAGTATGTGTTACGTGAAGTGGAAAAGCTATCGATTTGTAGTAAAACCGCATAATATCAAAATAGTTTTATATAAACGATTTGAAGTATATGAAAAATTTGAAGTATTAAAATATATGTTAGAAACATTTTCATTATTATAAACATTCGCGTACTTGATACGTGACTTTAAAAAATTAATTCAAAATTTTTTATATGCAATTCGATAAAAATTTTCATATTTGAAAAAGATTTGAATTTTGAATAATTTTTCGACTAGCTTGGTTTTCATCTTTTGCGCAAAAATTCAGATCTTCGTTCATTAGTATGTAAGCTCAATTATTATTCTAAATTAATCAGCTTTCGATTGTTCCCAGACTATTACATGTCAAAATTTTACAGTTGCAAGTTAAAGCAAGTTACTGCAACTGCAAGTTGTAGCTTAAGATTTTATCGAATTATTAAATCGGTACTTTTTCAAAAAGCTTTTAAAAATAAAATTCTTTCTAAGAGACATAAAATTCTTAAAAATGAAGACATAAATTATGACATAAATTAAGACATAAACTTCTTAAAACTGGAAGAGAAACAATCTTTCTTCGCAAGGATAAAAGGTGAGATGTTGTATGCATGAATTTGGCAAAGATAATTTTTTTTGGTAAAGATCTATTTGTTTATATTATCAAGAATGATTGAAAATAAAAACCTATTAAATTTTTAATAATTTATGAGTTCTCGAAATGAAATGATATGCCAGTTTTACACATGCAGACACCGGAGATTGTGAGCTCAGTCGATCGGGAATCTTGGGATTCCGCGCGACGCGGCCAGTTTATTTTCACGATCAACCGTTATTGTTACTATCGCCTTCGTGACGCATGTTACGCACTTCGTCGACAATAAGAGGAATATTCCGTTGGACTTTCGACAGAGCACAGGGAGAAGAAGAAAGAGAGGAAAAGACAACAGCATAGGACGTTTCGAGAGAATTGTCGTCGAACGGTGACGGGGACACGAGAGAGACGGATATCGGATAAAAAGCGAGAGAGAAGGATCCTCTCTATTATGGACGGCTACTGTGCTGTTGCTGTTGCTGACCGCTGGTGCAATTGTTGGTCGCCCAGAGAGAAAGACAGAGAGATCTCGATGCAATCCGCATTTGCGCGCGTTCTTTTATTTGAATCGCGATGAGAAACGGCATGTAATAAAATGATACATGCATCAGTCAACGATTGGTTAAAACGAAAATCGTTAAAAGATGTATCTTTTTATCAGATAAAAAAGAGAATAAGAAAGAAATGAAAAATGATAATTAGAAAAAAAGAGTAGAAGAAAGAAATGGAAAATGTTAATTAGAAAAAAAATAGAAGTCATCTATATTTAATTATTTGAGAAAATAGAAAAAAAGAATAAAGAGTACATATCCATTTTAAGAAGAATCTTTGTGATTATCAAAGCCCCTCAATAATCTTTTATAATAATATCGATTTTGACGTATGGAGAACTTTTTCAATATAAAGTTAATTAAAATAAATTCTAGCTCACAAATGGAGCAATAAAATCACTATTAAAGAGCTAAACTTATCGAGACACGTATAATAAAATAACAAATCAATATATGTAAAGTGCAAAAAAAATCTTAAAGATTAAACTCACCTTGAGTTGATGCATCTGTTGCTCGTGCAGTTCAGCCAAATGTCGTTCCTGTGCCTGATATTGCTGCCGGAGGATCTGCTGTTGAAAGTGATGGTGCTGCTGTAGCTGGAAACAAATCCAGATATCTCAAGGGTATTGAAATATTCTTAACTGAAGATTAAAATGAAGAGTGAAAGAGATGGAGTGTGAATAATTCGCGCAAGTGTAGAATACGAGATCACTCGATACACATATTTCTTCTTTCAACCGAAAAGTCGTCACAAAAAAGTCTACGTTCTACAATACAATTTCTCTTTTATCTTTTCTCTTTTTATCAGAGAATTAATTTATTAACAGACATTTATTTTTTTCTCGATTTGCCAAACGGATGGAGTACAAAGGATCTCGATAAAAAAAGAGGAGATGCAGATTTATGCATATGAATCCGTTCAATATATTTCTGAATAAGCTATTGTTGCGCGTCAAGTGAAAATGCGAAAGTGAAAAGTTTTACGCCAACATGACACACGCATTTGATCCGTTTGATTCAATTCACCGTGTCTCTCGAATGTTTTTCGTTGCACGTGGGCGACTTTGACTCGTCCTTTCTCAGAAGGAAGTGCGTGGGTCGTGCTCACACGAAGACCAAAACAATTTCGTCCAATTGGTTACATCCACGAATGAGTGAACGTTATTACCATGTGATTTTCATTGTACTGTGTAAGACCGTTTAAAATCAAACATGATATCGACACAAAACTGCAGAGAGTCTACATCTGACATAACTCTAGGATTAATTTTGCGATTCTCATTGATATTCCGCCATCTGAGATTTATTATTCTCCATTTGAGAAATAAAATTGGAAAAAAAACAGAATAAGAGTAACTTGAAACCTAACAACTTTAATTAAGTTTGTGAGAATATGTTTCTTAGTCATTTCTTAATTTCAGATGAGTCATTACCGAAGGGACAAGATCTTAGTGATAAATTAAATTATTTGATTCTGTATAAGTCCATGCTCAGAAGTCCAATTCTTCAAAATAATTAATGAGTCAAAATGTCAAAGTTATATCAAAATTTTATGTGAAAATAGTTACATATAGTTTTGTATAAATTGGATTTTTTCATGTAGCTAATTCGGTTCGATGCACAATAAAGATTATCGTATATAAATGTATAATAGTATAAATAATTAAAACAATAAGATAATTAATTCTATGAGTTATTATTAGTTATCATTATTCATTAAATAACAATATATAATAATAACTCATCGTATTAATTATCTTACTGTTTTAATTACTTATGCCATTGTAAATTTATATATGACAACCTTTAATGTGTACGAGTGCGCATTAGTGCATCCTATCAAATTCGCTAACAGTTAATTTCAAGCCATTAAATAATTGACAGATAAACATCGTTTGGTCACTTTCGCCATAATTCATACATCAGTTTATTAATCAAAAATCAAATATAGAGTCCAAAATTTTCAAATAAATTGGTATACATTGCAATATATCGTGAAAGATCGGAATATTATGTCGCAAAAGTACTGAATTAATCGAATCGATCTGAAAGGAAAATTGTGAAATGAACTTTACGGGACAATATAAAGCGAATATTCAACTCCTCACTTTCATTCCGAGTGATGGTTCGGAATGGAAAGGATACGTTCTTCGAATTACGATGCTCGCGATAGGTTTCGGCATTTGCATCCTGTTGCTCCGAAGGAAGGGTTCATTTAAAATATGGAGGAATTTGTGTAGAAATCAAGATCGATCAGTTCAAACCGATTTCGACGATTCAAGTTTGACAACTGAAATAAAAGATTTTATAAGGTACAATAATTCTTAAGAAATATTATCTATACATCCTGCATCATAATAAACGTGCATCTGCATTCTTCAAAAAGAAGGTTAATTCGCACATTCAAAATAATTTTGAGTGTTCAAAATAATTTCGTTAATTACGATTAAAAATCTAAAATATGGAATTTTAATATATAAATATAAATTTATTTCTCCCAATAATATTTTATAATTTTCTTATAATTTTTTCAAAATAATATTTGATATTTTGAAAATAATTTAAGTCTTTCTTTTTAAATAATGTTCATGAAAAAATTTATTTCTATATCATTGAACTATTATGTATGCGCTATTATTCGCACTTGAACATTGATGTTTACGCTCCAACATTTATTGGCGTTTAACTTGCGGAATAAAAGCAGTAAAGCGAAAAGTGAAAAGCGCGTGTGCACACGTATATACGACGGGAGATAACGGCGCACTTTCGTTTCTCCGACAGTGACGACAGAATAGTGGCATACAACATCACGGACGGCGAAGTCTGTCCGATCTGTTTAAATACGCCGAAGATCGGCGTGAAAGCCCCCTGCGGTCACTTGCTGTGCGCGGAATGTCTGGCGGGTTATTGCGACGTTAGAATAGCACCTGCGCCGCCACCTTGTCCATTATGCAGGGCGCCACTGAATTCGGTGGCCTTGGCCTGCGACTTTGTTAGTATAACAACGCGATAAAAACTTCCGCCGATAAAAATGATAATGAACCCTACTTGCCTTATTAGAATACAGTGGAATGTAAAAATAAGAAAATAGAAAATATTCTTATAATGTAAGAGAAAAATTATCTTCTTTCTCACATAATATTTCGCCCCAACTGATAGTCTTATAAGACTAGGGTATCTTGAAAGAAATATTTAATTCGAAGCTGAAATGCTCTTAATGCAACGAATCTTTGTGATTAAAAAAATATGTATATAAAATTCTTTTTGGATAATGTATTAATTTAATTATAGGCTATTCTGGGTTCCAAAAATAGGAAATATTCTTATAATGTAAGAGAAAAATTATCTTCTTTTACGTCTCACTGTATTTCGCCCCAACTGATAGTCTTTAAGATTAGGGTATCTTAAAAAAAGAAATATTTAATTCGAAGCTGAAAAGCTCTGAATGCAACGAATCTTTATGATTAAAAAAATATGTACATAAAATTCTTTTTGGGTAATGTATTAATTTAATTACAGGCCATTCTGGGTTCTAAAATATTGGACTCAAACACCATCATCATAAGAGACTGGGTACGCGAATACAATAAACATCGCGCTTCAATGATGTCGGTACGACCGTTTCTGACGACGCGACTCGTCCTTTTCTTTAACATCTTGACTTTCTTTATAATTGTCGGCTTGATCGCTGGGAAACTTCAGGCTTTCGCGGAAATATAAATTTTTACTTTTTGGAAATCTTATAAATTATCATTATTGTGAAGAGCTTTTCGACAACAAGAAAGATACGCGTTTATTATTAACTTATTAAGCTTTTTTCAAAATGGACGATATCCTTCTGCAAGTTACTATTTACAAAAATGAGTGGCAAATAAAAAAAATTTGAAGCACGTACTCTGCATATGATAATAACGATATTGATATCCGATTTATTAGGTATTATTCTGAAAAAATTAAATATCATATGTTTATATTATTCATAATGACATCGTATTAATCATATGCTAGTTCAAAAGTCAGAGTTATCATGAGTTAATCTAAATTCTATCGGCATACGCAAAAACATACAATATTAGATTGTTAGTTTGCGAGATTCTTCTCTTATTATTTATTATTAGATATGTGTCAGTATTAAGAAATATATACATTTAAAACGAAATATATAACAGCACAAACTTGTTTCGATTTTTTTTCTGAACGTTTAAGTATTTTTCTCATTTTAGGAAAAATCTTAGACAAATTATTATCAATGCAATCAGAGCAATTAAACGTAAAAATTATGCGATCAAGATTTCTACTATCGGTACACGCAATCTTTTGCGTGATACATACGCTGATATAATGTGTATATAATGCGAAAAAATTAATACTTCGTTCATTAGTGATATTAAATATGTAATTACATCATCGAATCAAATGAGACATGCAAACCCAATAATTTTTTAAAAGTAAAAATTGATTCCAATAAAAAATTTATGTATACATACATATAATCCTATTGCAATATCTTTTTTTGTATAGAATATATAAAAATAATTAGTAACAATATCTAAAGAATAAAAAAAAATTATAAACATAAATCACACATGGACATAATAAACACTGCAATATGGATTAAAAATATAAAATATAAATATAATTTTATATAAATATATAAAAAAATATGTGCGTAAACATGCGCAAGAGAGAAAGAGAGAAAGTGTGTGGATCTATATATTTTTAATCATTATATCTTTCTCTACAGAATTAGTTATTAACAAATTATAGCTGATGAAATGTTAGAGAAATATTACAAACTTCTTCTCGTCATCTACATCATTTATGAATTTCTCTCACTTTCTCATCGCGAATATATTTTCGCGAAAAATACCTTTTTTTCTCTCCGTTCCCCATATCTTTCATTCTCCTGTTGTTTACGTTATTTTCCGTCGAACGTATGATAATTGAATTCTACCCGTCGAGTAGACGCGTTACGCAGCAGCACGCGTGCGATTTCGCACGCGTCGTGTGTCACCGAGACTTCCGCCAGAGGATCGATACGTATGTACGATGCGCGTGGCCAATTCCGTTCCGCTGTTATGTATGTACATAATATGCGATAGAGCGAACAAAATATTCGCCATGATAATTTTAATAACAAATTCTTTGAAAGCCATGATAATTTTAATAACAAATTCTTTGAAGGAAAAGTGACGGAGAGAAAGAAGCCAGTGAGATTAAACGATTGAATTAATTCGCTCCATTATTATATCCTTAAGAGGGGACGTGTACCCAGATGAATCAAAAAATCGATTTCTCAATTTTTGCATTTTCTTATAGTATGATAATTTGAAGAATATTTTTTCTAAAGTTCTAAGTCGAAATTTAAAAAAAATAAAAAAATTCGGCTTCACGATTGGCGGGCGAACGTTATCTGGCAAGTGCCATAGCACCTGTACGGTTCTTTTCTTTTTGCTAAAAAAAAACGCTAGTATAATGTATTAGTCCAGAAGAAACAAATATTGGATACAGAATATTGAACTTTATTTCAAGGCAATATCTGCGTGTGTGAAATGTAAACATTGTGATGATATAACATTCAAAGTAAAAAATACACGTGGATTCGGATTTAAAATTTAAAATCACTACTATAAATTAATTCATGCAAGCAATGAACATCTGCAGAACCAAATGCGCATCAACATGCTTCTGCAGAAAATTCGCGCCGAATAATAAGAGCGAAGTGCACTGTTCAAGATATAAGACGAAAGAGGCAAGATTACACATGAAGTAAATGATATGTAAGTCAAGAAAATCATTGATATATTGATTAAAAGTATATTTAAAATCTTAAACATGATTTTCTCAAAACTGTTTTCAAAATCGATAATCACAATATCTCGAGAATCACTAAATGGATCGCATTCTGAGTTTTTCCTACTTATTAAGCATGAAATGATTAGTCTTCGTCGTAGTCGATTATTTTATTTTTAGCCGGTCTTTTATTTTTTTTTTAATAGCCAAAAAATAATCGATTTTTTAAGCGAAAATCCGCACCTTCAGATTTAGATGAATGGCATTTTTTAAATATTGTGAATTTTTAAAATCGGCAAAGACTAGATTTATCCGTCTATTTTAAGAATCAATTGATTTTTTTGTTTCAGATGAACTTTGTAGATGGCACAATGGTTATCGCAAAGCGTCTGACGCCAGCGATGATACCTCCTATATTTTTAAATATTTTTTAATAAAAATTTAACACTGATAACTATTAAGAAAAATATATATAATTGGATATAAAAATCATATTTTGATAATTCTAATATTTTCCGCGAAGAAAATTCGTGAAAATAAAGTCATTTTCGGTACGTCTGGATGTATGTTCCCCCTTAAATCTCCCTAATCGATTCCAAATTTATATTATTCTAAACTTTTTTAAGGAATTAATAATAAAGGAGGTTCTGTGAGACGACTTCGGTTGAAGAAAAAGATAAACGTTATTAAAATGCAAATTTAAGATTGAAATTAAATATGCGCTAGACGCTATTGAAATACGTTATGTATGCAATATTCAACTGTATTTTATGTGTGTATTTATATAAGCATTTGAAGATTATTTCTAGCCTTCTGTTTTTTTCAAAGGGCGAGATCTGACTGATGTAACATAACAAAATATATAGTATAAGAAAATCTTCACAAAAGTATCGGCGACCTTGAACTTAGTAGCAATGTAACTAAAGCGCGGCACGATCGATCGAACTCATCCGAAACTGTGTGAGCTCGATTGCAGTAATCTAAACTTCATCGTACATATTCCGAGCAGATTTCTGCGATATATGGTTTCATCTATCACTGCAATTCACTTCAATCCGATGTTCGCGCAAGATTCACAGATTCCCTTTCTCAAGATCATTTGATCTTTTTATTAGAAAGAATTATGATTTAAAATAACATACATAAATATATTTATAAAAAATAATATCTCTCATAAGATTGACATTTAACATTTTTTTACTTCCATAAGATAACATTTTTATTTTTCTTTCACTAAAAATTACAATAAAAAGAATATATACTGCACATTCAATATTTTGCTAAAACATTGAATTATTAAAACATTGAATTATTAAACATTTTATAAACAAAAATAGATATATATTTATAATATATTTTAAATATTCACATAATTCATAACTGGACTTACCGGAAGATTGCCGATTATTTGCAATCCAAAATATTAAAGAAAAATTTTAAAAAATTTTAAAAAATTCCGAGTCTCGATAAAATTCTATGAAAATTTTCCGAATACTCCAGATTATCACAGAAAGCCTCGAAAATTCCAAATTTTCTTTCCAGGGAGTAGACCCTGATTTTATAATCGACGACTTGTTTCACAAAAGACTCTCCGAATTTATTTCGTACACCCAACGAGCCAACACATATACGTACGTACATATATACACGAATACATTACCTCGAGCATCTTCTGCTGCAGCGCGTGGTCGTGCAAGTTGGCGGTGTCGGTTGCTGCGGCGTGATAAGCACCGGAAGTCAGGGTGGCCGTCGCCGCGCCTCCCCCGCCGCCGGCGCCCAAATTTCGCGGTCGCGGCATCGGCGAGCCCGGAGTATCCCTGGCCATCTCTACGCACATGTAATAACAACAACACACGTTCGGTAACATGCTCTCGTGAGCGGTCGCGTGGCGATGGTGAATGTCGCCGACGAGCTTCACCTTCGAGCTTCCCGCTCGCGAATATCGATCGAACGCGCTCGCTCGCTCTACGTAAACCTTCATGGTGTTCCTTTTCTTTTTTTTTTTCACAAGGTATATATTTCTCTCTTCCCTGATTTTATCGTCGAACTTTCGCACCGATACGATCGGACATGATAAAGTGAAATTCGAGGAATTAATCTCGAATCAAGTTTATTAATTTTGGCGTCCTCGAAGTAAACTATGTTACGTTGCGATTGAACAAGTAAAATATTTATTAGCGGATTGAAAAGTCGTAATAACTGGTATCGAATCGAGTCTCTCGCCTCGAGATCGTCGTTGCTAAAAGATCGCCGCTTCCCTCACTTACTGATGTCTCGATAATTCTTATCAATATTCGTCCAATAATACACGGCGCGATATTTCACTTGCTGCCAGCCAACTGTTGTCTCGATACCTCTTTATCGATATTTATTCAACAGCGCATATATTTAATTTAAATATCGGAAAGAAATCAACACACACACACACAAAGCACACGCGACTAAAATCGTCGATGTTAGTTTTTTATCTTGGTGTGTTTAAATCCTTGTCTTTCAATGTTTCCCTCTCTCTTCGACGTCGACGTTTTAAAACGTTGTTAAAATATGAAATATCGAGAAAGGCAAAGATTCTCGCGTATAAATAATGGAAAGAGCCCAAGCGTTTTTCTTTTTGCGTCCTTCAAATTGATCGTTTTCAAATGTCAATCCGGTGGTTACTTTTTCTTTTTACTTTTCGCTTATTCGAGAATAATGCTAATTTCGGACCGACTTGGCGGAGGAAGTCGTGTAATTTGCGAAATGCGTAATTCCGTGGGAGCGTGATTTCTCTCTCTTCCTGGGGCCTCTCATCGCGGCCGGGAATAAAGAAGAACGAGCGGAAGCCACCGGCGGTGGCGGTGGTTTCCTCTGATTATCGCCGACAATCGAGGAGAGAATTCGCGTAATTCGTCCGCGGACGCGCGCGTGCGTCGCGACGATGTTTATCGCCTCGTTATTTGCTCGTGGCGCGATAACACGGCTATCTTTAGCGTTTATTACGCGCAATGCACACACGTAACACGTAACACGCGCGCACGAACGGTCGCTTATCGCCCCATCGGTTTGCACCCAAGGCTCTCACGGAGGCCCGTGTGTTTGTCTTTCGCTCGTTTGTCGCGCGAATTTTGCACGTGCCCGTTAAAAGTCCACGCTCGAAATCGTCGAAAGAGAACCCCCCCCGAGGCTTCGGGGGAAGAGAAGAGATAACTCGCCGGTCGCGTTGCTGGCTCTTATCGCTTAAATTTAAATTCCCCTCGCACTACTAATTGTCATCGCGCACCAAAGCCACGTGGGCTTCATTAGTCTCCACGAGCGAGGTTTTTTTACGCCTTAACGAAATTCCAGGCGCGCGTGCCGCGATAACAAAGTGCCCGTCCGGTTATCGGTGTCACGATTATCAGGAAGTCACAGGTTCAAGCCGCTCTTCGCAATGCGGTCTCCTGCTTTCGGAATCAAATGCAGATGCTCGCGAATGCAGATGCTCGCGATCTCGCGGTGTCCTCGTGTACGTCGAACATCTTCCACCGACGATCCAGGGACTCCTCTCGTGGTCGTCGCGAAAGACGCGCGCGATCGCGACGGAGCTTCACAGGTGGGACTCGTGGTGTTTTCTCGTCGTCTCGTGACCTCGACGGGCGCGCGTGCAGGAAACGATGGCGAACGCGAGAAGGAGGAGCTTTATATACGTCGCTCGGCAAAAGCAACGGTCAGCGCTAAATTTAGCTCGCGCTGGAAGCGATTACGCGAGCCAAGATGCGAGGTGAGAGAAACGGAGGGAGAGAGGGGGAGGGAGGGAGAAACTGTGACACATAAAAAATAAGAGAGGAAGGGAAACGGCGCGAAATTATCCCCTCGATAGACGGATCGCGACTGAACGATCTCGATCGAGCGAGCTATCCTGACAATTCCTCTCGTCATCCGCGATGGATGCGAGGGGGAACCGGCGAGCGGATTCGTCAATCGCGAGAATGACGTTTCGATTGCGTGCTCTCTCTCTCTCCCCGCTTGACTATCATCGCGTTCCGAGAGCGACGAGGAATTCTTTTTGCGAGAGAGAAACGCGTTAATTTGCCGCTAGAGCGTAATTAGCGACACGTGTAACAAAATAAAGATTTTTTGTCGCAGATAAGCTTCAGTATGTTTTTTTATTCGTCGAGAAACCATGTGTCGAATATCCTTGACACTTTGCTCTTCTTCACGTATTCTAATAATTTGACTAAAAATTCCAGAAGTTATCTATCACATTTTGAATAACAATAATTCTGTAAGCGAAGAATTGCTTTTTAATGCTTCTACTAATAATTCGACTGAAAATTCCGAATTTTTCGCTTTGTAAGAGTTATCTATCACATTTTGAATAACAATAATTTTGTAAGTAAAGTTTTTTTTTTGCTTTTTTTGCTTTTCAAGAAAGACAAACAATACTAACAAACAATAGCTAGTATAGTAGTATAAGAAAGGCTATAAAGGCTAAATGAAAAATGTATACTTGAGATCAATTGATAAAAAAAACTTCAGATTCTACTTCTTGTAAATTCTACTTTTTCTATCGAATCGACGCAAGCATCTATGAAATCATTCTTTTCAAAGTTTTTATGCGAAAAAGGTATTCTTACAATTTGTTATTCAAAATATAAATCTGCTATTCAAAATCGACCTTTACATCTTCATCCTTTACCCTTTATTTCTCACCCTACAATACATGTATATTTTTCCATTACGTATATTATAAAAAATGTGACGAAATATTCGCATATTTCCGGACTAACGAAGATACAATGAGAAGATTACAATGATAAAATTTACAAAAATTTACAAAAAATGATTACAAAAATATTACGAATAATTTTTTAATTGAACGTTATTAAAGTAAAATTTAATATTACTTTTATTCAAAGTTTGATTTGTGTTTAAAAGATCTATATAAATAGCATATTATGAAATTGTCTTATAGAAAAACATATTAAAAAATAAATAGTTATAAATAAGTTAATTTTAATAAGTTATATTATAATATTATATATTATTAATATACTATTAATATATATTATAATATTATATTATTAATATAATATTATAATTATATATATAAATGTTAATTTATTAAAATACATAGTAATAAGAAAACTTAGTCTCAAACATATAAAATATATAAAATAAAAAAAAAATATTCTCTTCTCAAAATTTAGTTGCTCTCCCTTTTTTTCAATTTTTTTAATTATATATTTTAGACGAGTTTTATAGTAATTTTTATTTTTATAGAGCAATTTCAAAATCAGATATGTTGAATCGAGAAGTTACTTCTATCTTTGAATCTCCATGGTAAAATATAGATATAAAAGAGATTTTACAATATGATATATTCATAGAGAGAGAGAGAGCTTATATTGTATAGAGAAGCCGGAGATAACTTCATTTTTGTATTACGATATACATGCTTTTCACGTCAAAGGTCAAACTAGACAGAGAAAGAGCGAAGAATATATTGCTTCACTTTCGTGCTTTTCGTTCACTCAAAAGCGATAGGAAAAACGACAAAATGGATCTATTTTATGGTGTTCAAGGTTATCGGATCCATGAATTGCGATTGTCTAAAAATGTGGCTGTCGAGAGAAAAAAAAATTAATGGAATGTGCGAAAAACAAATTCGACGCCACCTCTTAACAGACTCCGACAAATTTAGATACATTGATAATCACGCGTAAATAACGATGAATGTATTTGTGCACGTGCGTGTGTACAAAATAAAATTGTTATGTTAAATCATAATCGCTTATCGCATTACATCTTCTCGGATGTTTTCCTTTTTTAATTACGTAACAAGATATATGTGTCTCCTCGAGTATACTCGTGTAATTATGCTAATCATTCGTCGCATATTTACTATCGCGCTCTGAATAAAATTCTTTATCTGTAATTCTTTATTTAGACATTACACGTAGTAACATTATGCGTGAGTAACGCTTACATTAAGCGTTACTTAATTCTTTAACTCGCATTTATTAAATCATTCTACGGATCAATATATAACGTGGAATGCGTTGAACGCGCAGATGTCAAAAGAAATATATAATACTTCTTAATTCAGTTCCAATTTTAATATCATCGATTTGCATAGATTTTACGAAAATAAATATCCTTGAAATATTTTTGTTCAGCAAATAGTGTTTTAATAATAATATTTTATATACAGCATAATATTTTAGAATATAACATACATAAATATACTTTATTATTTTTTTATATTTCTACTATTTATTATACAATATATTTTTATTACTGTATATTTTTCTTTTACTCCAACTTATCTGCATGCGTGAAAGGAAAATATTTATATTAATATTGATATTTTATCATACGCAAGCTTTATAATAGAAAAACAGAAAAATTGATATTATCGTGTTTACCAAATAGCAATACCAAGCGAATGGCAAAATTAAGGGCTGGCAAACTCGAAATTTATATTATAGATGCGCAAACAGTTTAGTGATAATATTCCCCTCCCTCCCTAGGTCTCCCACGTCGATTATGCTTATACCGGTTATACCAGTTATACCAGTTATTACGACTTGAAATAACATTTGTGTTCCTAAAATCTGTTTTCGCCATTTCTTTATCCTTTTCTTTTCGCGGCTACTGCCTTTCAAAACTGTTATAGATTCGGAACCGGATATATTTCAAAACAAATTAAACTTTTAAGTAAGTTTTCTCTTAATCTTAACATAACATTTCCAAGACGTATGATTCACCGTTGCTTGATCAACATGTTGTCAAATAATATTTGCCGATTTAAAGAGAATGTGTATATCTAAAAATATCGCGCTAAATATCAAAGTACAGTTTCTATAATTTAATCTATGACAAAATTTCAACTTAAAAAGCGAATCTTAAAATAAAATGAATTAATGAGGAATTAATTTTAATAAATTATAGATCAAGACTGACACTAATATACGTATTAATGTTTTTCTCTGAAAAATTATAAATTATACATACTTTCTCTATTTAAAAAAAAATCACGATTTTTATTTAAAATCTAAAGAATTTGATAATTTGAAAATGCTATAGGAATTAGTTTAAAATTATAGAAATTGCACGATATTTAAATTTATGTATATATAACTCATTAAAAAAAATTGCGTCGATCAACGAAAACTTTAGATACGAATAGCAAAAATGCCTTACCCTTTTGAGGCAGATGCGTGAAGGCGGACGTGATCTCGACACTTCTGTAGCCCACGTCTTCTGAAACAAATTACAAGCGTTTTATAAAACTGACGCATATATGTAGAAAAAACAATGAAAATTAGCTCGTTGCACTATCAAGCGCAATCACAAATTCGCAAATAAACATTGCAATTGCGCGAGAGGCCACCGATGTGTATAAATAATGGCAGACTGCCGATTGACGTCAACCTATTTGAATTACCGTAAGAGATGCCCCGAGCAAACTATCGTGAACTATTATATCACGATTGATGATAGCGATGGCGTCGCATACTTCAATTACAACCGGTCAGCTTATCTTGGATCGTAGATTCTTGTGACTGTACGCAGTTTTTATTCGATCTTCTACGCGCGAAAAAATGAAGAACGTACAAAAGTATTTGTATTTCATAATAGAATGAAAAAAATTGATTACATTAACCGTGATATCTCGATATCCTTTTCTGTACGTAACTTTATATAAAACTGAGTTTTAAATTTAAGATCTGAAATGTATAGGAATAAAAACTAAGAGAATTAATTTTTCATAGTTTCTCGATAAATTCAAGATTTCCTTTAAAGATTTTAATTTTCCACCAGCTTATTTTATATCCATAAAAATCCATAAAAATCAATGATTTATCAATGATTTTATATTCATAAAAATGATAAAGAAATTAAACAAAATTTTCTTATCTTAAGGTTGATAATTAAATTTCGAACGGTTTACAAACTTGTGAAAAATAAACAATAAATTTATTTATACTAAACACGCTTATTCTTTTCCTATATTATTCCTTTCTTACGTGATGCATAGATAAAATCTTTCTAATTTGTATTTTTTCCAATCATAAAATCGAAATTAATAATTTTGAATTAAGAATTTTGTCCCATAAATTTATTTTATTAAACGCTCTCTGCAAGGGAAAATATAATCATGAGATTGCTTTGTGTGTTGGTTTTGTGTTAATTTTGAGCGCAAGTCGAGCTGCTTTGCGATTAGATAAAGTACACTATCACATTTTTTTCGTGCCCTTCATCTAAAACATCTCGCTTACCACAAACCCGAGATGACATCATATTATTCTCAGATTTCAAACAGCGGTGAGCTAATAAACGGTGAGCCTTATCGTTGAGACTCAAGATGGTTATCGGGCTCTTATCATGCATATGTGTGTATATATCGATTATAAAAATAAAATTCTGAATAATCGAATGCTCAAATTCCAGTAATCGCTCCATTCGTATAATATCAAGACAAAGAAGATCTGTTGTTCACTTCGGAAATGCATTAAATTCCTCTATCTGATTCACGCTTTAGTATGTTGATTAAACTGTCAGAATATAAATTTTCGCTTTTTATATTTGAATATGAATAATATGATAATAAATATGTATAAGACGTTAGAAATATTGATTTTAACGGTTTTCGATTTTAACGGTTGAAACAGATTTTTTAATATTTTTCATATAAAAGAGAAAAGATATTTGATATTCAATATCGCATACATATAAAATTTGAAATAATTTTACATATATTTATATTCTTTTGTACATTTCAGAAAAACCTCAAAGAGATTAATTTATCTATTTAAATTTGACAAAGTAAGAAAAAAAGCATTCATTGCATTTAATTAAATTTTTTTAATAGCTTAATAATAGGTGTGTCATATGGAAGATACTCTTCATTTCCAATCAGAATAAATTAATTGAAGAAACGATTTATCAAAGAAATTATTTGACCGATATGAAACTTATTAATTTTGTTTTAGATATCAGAAAATTGCGATCTGTGTCGAATGACAGTCGTTATTGAATCAAAAAAATAGTTGAAACTGTTTAGAAAATATGATGGAATTTTTATCTGCGATATATACATATATCTGCGATATATACATGTATATTAACGAGAGATATTTCTTAAAAAGAGAAAAAAATATGATCAGCTGCAAGTAAATTTAAAGAACGTTCTTGTTGATTATTTATGATATCAGATAATATCGTTTGCTGATCCATTTCGAACATCGTTGTGCAGCCTCTTTTGTTCGGATCGAATAAATCTACACGTCTATACCATAATCATAAAGTCACCCGTTCTATTTTTAGCCGAAGGCCGTAATAGTCCAACGAGTGCCGGCACAGTCATCGCGATGACCTTAGCATCGAGCACGCCTCTGATCTATTATTATTGAAGATTAATCACCATTTTATCGACTACGACTTGTTGTACCTGAATGGCCCGCATACAATTCGTGATTACACAGCGAAATAAAGTTCGAGGAATGCAATCATGTTTCATAGTTTCATATTTTGAGAAATAAATGTGTATTAACATCTAGAATTATATCATGCTTGTTGGCACAACCGATGATTCAATGTTGATTCTATTGAAAATGTTGATTCTATTGAATTTGAAAAAAATCATTCACTATCTTCTATATCTTTCCAATACTTTAATAAAGAAACAGAATTTCAAAGAACTTCAAATTCAGTGTCATAAATTGTCATGATATTAAAATATTTCAAAAATATTATTCTACATATTTTTATGAAATATTTTAATTGTGTAAGACAGAATTAAATTGATAATATATTAATTTTTTTAACCTAAATTAGAGAAGATTAAAATTTAATTTGATTTTGAAATCTCATATAATATATAAAACATTTCGTAAAAGATGAACATTTTTAATGATACGGTCTTGACATTTACATAAATTATCTAATTTAAAATTTTTTACGACGAGCATAATTTTATAAATTATGATGAGTACAATGTAAGCGCCACCGCATCCTTTGTTGCAGTGTATTTATAGAACGATGACTCTATCGAGGTAAAAAGCCAATAAATATCGATAATAATCGCTGCATACACGTGTATCTCTCGTCAACCTCGAGAGATACTGGTAATTTTAAATACGAGAGAAACCAGTACATCATGGGAAAGTCAATTGTGTCCGGGTTCTATTGTTATACGCGATAAATGGTGTTATCTGCGATAAAATCAGACTCTAAAAATTTATAGGACGTTCTTTTAAAACGCCTACTTGACCCCAATAATATTATTATAATCCAGAAGAAAATTGAAAGTCAGCAAAATTGCGTGAAAACGATAATTTATCAAGAATCTTATCAAGTCTTTACCCGGAAAAAAAAACGTCAAAGTTCATAAAATCCGATATTCCACCGGAAATCGTGATCATTTTACTTATCATTGTGCAAGTCGTGGTTAATGGAGATTTACGGTCGAGTAAAGAGACTTTTACGATCGTATTACGTCCTTCCTTTTTGAATTATCTTCAAGCAATCTTTAAAAAAATATATTGATAGCATACACTATAGTCGAAATATATGTGTATAATTTATAAGATAATATATAAAGAGATCATATATAAAGATCATATATAAAGAGAGATTTTAATAATTGCTATTTTTAATTTCAATGTTTATTATATAATATGTTAATTCAATGTTTATTATATAAATGTTTATTATGTTAATATGTTAATTCAATGTTTATTATATAATATGTTCATCGCTACATTTTGTATTTAAATAAGAAAATACAATAATAGAAAATATTCTGTGTCGTGTGCAATAATTAATCTGCATTTGGAAAAAAGTGCAATTTTTGCATACTAGACTGACTTTTCTAAAAATTGACAATTGATTTGAAAAGCTAATTAATATTTTTACATGAAAATTATATAGTATAAATATTAAGCAGTAACTCATTCAATAATATCCGAATAACTAAATTTATAAATATAAATTATAAGTCTTTAATTAATATTCTCGTTCATTGATCAAACTTATAAAATATTCGATTCGTCGGAAAGCCGCATCAAGCTTGCCACTAAATTTTGCAGATCTTCTTCTGCAACGATATATTATCATAATGTATTTACTTTCGTCCGTATTAAAAACCATGTCGGTAATTTTTAATCGAATAAAATTTAATCATTATAATATACTTGTCATCTTTCTAAATTTCTTAATAAATTATAATTCATAATAGCATTAGCGGAGAAATAAATTTCGGAGAGCTCGACAAGTTTATTATCATTTAAGAAATTTATCTGAGAAAAATCTGTAGCAATCTGCGAAGTGGGCTGGATCGCGCCTCTCAAACTTCCGTTCCGGATTTTTCGGCCGCGGCACCGAAATCGCTCGGAAGGATGCGAACTGGCCGCGAAAGAATGCACCGGCCAGCAGAGGCTGGCTGCAGCGTCTACGGTGGAGCGAAATGGGGCGACGGAGGGAGGAGGATGGCGAGCGAGATGAGCGGCGTGAGTTAGTGAGCGAGTAAGTTAGTGAACGAGCGAGGGAGCGAACGCGTGTACGAGCGGGAGGTCACTGCACGGCGCATTCCTTCGAGTCAAGTCCAAGGTTAATCCCGAGGAAGAGGGCCCCTTCGCCGCCCTGTTAGTCCTCTCTCTTTACTTTGGTGCGCATCGCGCCACCGTGGTCCCTCTTACGCGCGTTTCCGTTCATCTCCGGGAAAGATGGAGATCGGTAAAAGTATGGGACGAGCTCTCGATGCTCGTCCAAGTGTGACCGAAGGATAATTAATGCGAATTTTGATCGAAATATAACTGGTAGTACGTCACAATTGTTACGAGTATTACTTTCTAAGAGCCTCGTCAGTTGCATCGTCCGGATCAACGATACTCGCGAGATACTCAATTTCATATGCGAGAAAAATTTTTTCGGAGAATTGTGGCTTTTTGCATCAATTAAAAAAAAAAGACTTATTATGAAAATGATACAACTGATTAAGAGAGAGGTTATATAATGATAGCGAGTGTTTGTTGCCCAATAAAAAACTTAAGTCATGTCTTTATTTGGAAGCTTGATCGATCGAAATATAATATTCTTTATCTTTATATAACTTATCTACAAGAAGATATCTTATTGTTTCAAAAATAAAATATTTCGAATGTAGATCAAGTATTGACTGCTATCAAAATATGTATAAAAAAAGATATATAAGATACGATAATTTAAAATTGATCTTGACACTGTGATCGTGGCACTAA